AGAAATTGATGGTTGATGAAACCACTCTCAAATGCTTTGTGCAACATCTTGAGTATCTTGAATTGAAAGCTCAAAAAAGGAAAGCTGAACGAAACACCCTTCCAAACATTAACTGGAAAGATGAACACCAAGTCACAGCCAAACAACTAAAGATCTACCTAAAGCAGAACAATCCAAACGTATTAACAGAAAATAAAGCTGCGCTGGTAGCACGTGTCCTTAATTTTGCTGCTCTTGCTGAAACGTTTAGCGATGAAAGAATTAATTCCAGTGATAGTAGTACAGAATTCCTGTCCAGTGATTCCGAATACGACTCTGATTCTTCTGAAAACAGTTCTGATGTGGAATCAGATGACTCTGAAATGGACGGTTTTGTTGAACATTATTATGAAGTACYATTTGTTGCAGACGAGGACATCGAACGAGTAAGCACCGGACTTGCAATAGCATGACAACAGGTATTCAAATAAAGACATTCCTAATTGAAGGATGGTAATCATTGGGGGGGGGGGGGGGGGGGGGGGCACAGTCCCTAAATTCAGTGTTTTAATTATACGGGGAAGAAAGTACTTTAACCCTTTATAAACTGAGAATCAATTTAACACGCAGGGGAAATAGTAAAAAAAAACTGTTTATCTTACCCTGTTATTTTAGTAGCGACGAACATCGTTCTTGGTTTTGTTCGCTCTCGCCAGTAGACATCCTCCAAAGTACATTTTAAAAGTAGAAAAAGCCTAGATATTTACTCTCATATCAAGTTTATACACTGGAGAACACATAACATCCGGCAGCTATTATAGAAAGGCATTTGTTTGAATAGCAAAAATTAGACAAGAATTTCTCGTTTACCCGCCAAACCTACTTGTTTCACCGCCGCGACGCGAGGTTCGCGTGCGCCCGACGGCAACTCCGTATGCTAATTAGGTTAACAAAAGCTGTGCAAATTCACTTCCGGTCTATGCATGCATTTAGTTTTAAAGTTATGTTCGGCGTATCAGTCAACAATCTCGACGGTTTTTTATTTTTATCTAAGTTATTTATTTAAAGTCGTATTTCATTGCTCATATCGATGTCTAGCTTCTGCTGCCAATGATACTTCCATTTGCCAATAGTAGCAAGTCTTACCACTTCTTCATACTCCTTCAGTCGTTTGTGAGTGTAGGTTTGTGAATCGCACCCTGCAGCAAGCAGCAAGGCTGCACACTTGAGATGTTGTTGCTTTATAGCATAATGCACTGGTGGCCACCCCTCAGAATTCTCTGCGTTCACATTAGCACCATGACGAAGAAGAAACTTAACCCCTTTGTACGTCCCAGTTGAAGTGATATGATGTAGGATTGTCATCCCATTGGCATGCACGAAATTGGCATTGGCGTTCATTTCTACCAACACTTCAGCGCATTTCATGTTTTCGTTTTCTAGAGCAATAGTCAAGGGAGTCCATCCTCTTTGGTCTATAATTTCCGTTGAAATCCCATGGGTAACAAGTGTCTGTATCTGAAATACACTGTCGTTTTTTGCAGCTCTAAGTAAGGCATACGCTCCTTCTTCACTTTGTTGCTGCTTCACTGACATGGGAACGTTTTTGTCACTTATTTTAACAAAACGTCTAAGACTATTCAATGACTTAAGTGATCTGCTCGTAGATCTACTAATTTTTCTTGCTACGTTGACTATTGACGATGTTTTTGAATTTACGTCTTCCTCGCTTCTGAAGTACATTCCTCTTCGTTCAACACTAGAGTTACAAGACTTACTATGTGTAGGCGACGCACTGAATGTTTCTAAATTCACAAGTGACGGGATTTCCGCCTTCATTCCTTCACCCAATGGTTCTCTCAAAATTCCCTCATCCGTCTCTTCTTTCTTTTTCAAAAGGGGTTTATTTACTTGTATATTATCGATTTCCGACTTCATCACTATTTGCTCCGCTTCAAATATAACATCACTGGTCCATTTTTGATCATCTTTGTTTTTCTCTTCAGCTTTTGTCGTCTTTAATACTTTGAGATTTAGGTTGTCGTCACCACACCTTATTGTATTAAGAGAAGGTTTCGATGATTCCGCAAGAGACAGTTGATTTTCACCGTCAGTAGCTGCTATTTGCTCTACCATGTTGTCTGCCTGCGTCCAACACCTCTCTGTGAGCTGCGGATAAACTTGTGCCCCATCAGTCTCACCTTTGTGTGGACAAGTTTTTACAGGAGAAAATATTCTCTTCTTATTTTTCATCTTAATGCTTTTAGGTAGAATTTTACTGGCTTTTGAAACTGACTGGCCGTCATTCTTTGGAAAATTGTCTTGTTGTATAAATGAAGTCCATTCCAGTTCAATAGTTGACATGACCTTGTTTTGCAATCAGTTCTCACTTAGAAGTTGCCGTCAAAATCTTAGACTGAGCTAAAACTTTTAAAATGGTTTTCAGGATATCAAGCAGCAGGAAATCTCTAGAGCATTCTCCGTTAAAATAACCAACGACCAGTGTCGTCTTAATAGTTGACGCACATAGAACTGAAATGACTCTTAAGTCACACCTTCTATAATCTGAGGCACTATAAAATTCAGGACTCCTGTGTCTCCCCATTGTTTTTCTACACCTCTCGTTGAGATTCACTCAGTTGGAAAAGGCAAACACAGCTTCTCCTGATATGTTTCACAACTTTAACTGAAAGTATTATCTTGAAATTAACAACTTTTCTCAAAAGAATGGAATCACTTGACTATTGCGGTTTTAAAAACTTACACAAGTAATACTTGGTAATTTATCTATTAAAGGTAACGTAGTGATTTTAGTTAATTTAATCAAACAATTTCAAGAATTCATTGTTGGATTTCCAGCGTCTTCTTTTCAAAACAAAGTGTACCTACTATTATTATCATATCTCAAGTTTTCGATCGGCTCTATTTGAATATTGTTCAGTTTTATTTCCTTGTCAGTCTCGATGCAAATATTTCTAAGCCGATTTCTTGAATGAATAAATAATAATAATAATAATAATTACATGTTTTACCAGGGTAAGCTCGTCAGCAAACAGCTGTTATCAAGGAGCGCCCTTAAATAAATAAATAAATAAATTTAAACGTCCCTGTCATTTTTACGAAATTTATATTCGAGATCTTCTAAGATTTATAATATCATCATAGGTTCACTGGCAGGTTCACCACTTTTAATCGAAAGTAAAAAAAAAAAAACATGGATTGTTGGATTGCCTTTGGCTTCTCCTTGTAATCCAATGGACTGGGTTACCTGTGTTATATTTGCTGTTCATGCATGTGTCGTTCACGTGAACAATATTATTGCGGACTTTGACCTATGTACTTTGACTAGACTTGTGTTACGTCACGTACTTACGCACTTTGCTTGTCTTTTCTTGTTGATCAGCTCACGTACAAATGTGGTGTGTTTCTGGCCTCCTTCTCTACTTAGTTTATACGCTTTAATGAAAAGATTAACCTAAAGAAGACTTAAATTTACCATGGCTGCTACAGGAACATACATTCTTCATAAATCGACTCAACTTTGCTTTGCAGTTCGGTCTAATGTCAATTTGGAGCAAATGCATCCGAGTGTGTTGAGTTCCAAGCTCCTGATGAAATTTACCAACTTTCCTGACGGAGCAAACACATTGCCTCCAAGAATGAACTTAAAGGTTTTATCCTCTGCTATAAATATGCTCTGTGAGAAAGTAAGAGTTGAACGCGAGAGCAGCAAACACATGAAAAGGCGTAGCTATCACCGCCATCATGGACTCAAATCTCGACCACGTGATAATGTAAAAGAAATCGATGATCACAATATCATAAAGTCTTCAGACGTGGCCTTACTTGGTGCTGGGGGCTTCTTTTGGTACAAGGAAAGAATCACAGATCAAGATCTCATAAAGTGAATACATAAATCATAAGGATTCTTTACTACAAATAAAAATTAGGATGAAAATGGTACAGTAGTACCATTTCAATGTTTTTCATTAACATAAAATTGGCTTTCCAATCAAAATGTAATAGATGAGGCTGCAGTGTACAGCCATAATGTTCCAATGTCTCAATATAATGCTATTCATGATACAAGTTCATAGCGGAGTAGTGAATCTAATAAGAATGTTTTCTTTTTGTAGTTGTACGAAAAATCTAACAATAGATGATAAAAATGGAGAGAAAATGCAAAGTGAAGAAGCTGAAAAGGTTAAATGGGAAGTACTGTCAAGACAAGAGAACATGTCAGTGTTGAGAAGGCAAATGGACACTGGAATATATGAATATAAAGGTATGGCATGATATACAACAACAACAAGTTATACACAAATATGCCTACATTGAGAGATGACCTGTGTTAAGGAGTTGCCTGACTAAGTGTATTTTGATCGAGAAAACACTTTAATCTCCACAATTCCATTCAGTCTCAGATTTCAGATCTCCAACCAACAACGTTTTTTGAAATGGCTGTAAAATAAAAAATAAGTAAAAATAGGACATTATTTCATTATTTAAAAATAGGATAACATTGATTATTATTATTTCATTATTTTAGTGTTTGGTTCGTTCATTGATATAAATGCCAGATCTTTCTTCACTATCCAGGTAAATTTTGAATTGATATGTTGCATGAAGGAGTTTTAGACTTATTTGGACTATTACAGTACCTATTGACCAAGGAAGTTATGAATTTTCTTGGCATTCCTTTTTTGTCCACACCATAAGCCAATCAGTGAAAGAACGACTTGTTCAAGTTCTCTTGGAATAACAGTAACCAGGCTGGTTTGTACTTATTTGTCTTAGATTGATACTGAGTATCGTAAAATATGGGATCATTATGCTGGTAAACTAGAGATAATAGACAGAGATCCTGAAAGTGAATGTGAAGTTCTTCATTGGATCATGAAGTATCCTGTAAGTACTTTAAGGTATCAGGAGGGGATTTGGTCACCTATAGTTACCCTATATGTAACCTATAGGAAGCCCAATCTTGTACCCAGAGCCCATGTTCCTCATGGTCAGCACTGAAAACCGATTTTCGGTTGGCTTCCAGTCCATGAATTTTGGACCGGAAATTTCAACTGCGCATACCTTAATCACAGGTAAGCTGATGTTTCGGTTCCCTTTGATCTTCAGGGATTCAAATTGCTTCGAACAAACGGTAATCAATTTTTGACATTTTTAGCTTGAATATAGTAGTTAATTATTTGTCCTTTGCCTTCTTAAAGTTTATTTAGTCAATTTTTCCCCTGGGTACTAATTCAAATCTGAGTTCAAATCATCACGACAAATGCAAGAGTGATCACCTGCCAACGCGACTCGCACTAATCCTCTTGAAAATTTGCTTAAACTCCAGTCTCCTTCTCATCTATTTCGGGTATGCAAAAGATTGATTATTGTACCACATTCTAGCAAATTTTGAGTTCGATCCAAGCCAATTTAGTGCTYGAAAAATCCACTTATTTCCTGATATTTTCGAGTCTGTTACCCATTTTATTTCCGGAACGACTCTTTCTATTGCTTTTTTCCCCGGACCAATAGAAATGCTCAAAAAATTGGTTACAACCAGAGCCTCTCATTTCTAGGTGCTCACCATGAGGAACGTGGGCTCTGGGTATGAGATTGATAGGAAGCACAATTTAACATTTACATTACTAGGTCGAGTTTTCTATGAGTCAATAGATAGTCAATGAGTTGCATAGCATCAAATTGACTATTTGACTGATAGAAAAATGAGAATGAGTAATATAATTGTTTTAGCATAAACCTACTAGCTAATCTTATACTTTATTGAAAACAAAAAATGGCACTGAAAACTTTAATGAACAAAACAACGGTCAATTGGGCAGCAATATTTTCATTCAACTTTGGAAACTCAATACGAAGTCTTAACATATAAACTTAAACTTTGTCTATTTCTTTAGCTTTTTGTTTCTATCCAAACCTCTCTTTCCAATATTTTTTACCTTTTTATTTGTTCTTGAGAACTTTTCTAATTAATGAGTGATAATCAGAACAGATTTATTCACAAAATACTTTGTTGTCAGATCACTGGAAGCCATGCCAATGTTTACGATTCGCTTAAGATTCTTGTCAGTTAATTTGCACTTTCATTATTGTTTGAAGAATTTTAAAATCATTGAACATGCGTTTGCCAACTCGCCCACGTTAAAATCACCTTAAGAGATATCTAACCCTATATTAAGACTACATAAAGTAGTTTGTGATTTACCAAACTTATTACTTGACACTTAAGCTCCAGACTTCAAAACGCAAACTTTTTATACGCCATAACGGACTCGCCTACGCTAACTCACTAACGAACAAAACAACTCATGTAAAACCAATGTAAATGTCACTTTAGCCTTTTTAAATCTCAGATGAGTTTCTTCAAGAATTTTTTTATCATTGTTATACCCATATTATCTGTTGAAGGACGCCTGACGCCATAGCTTTTATAAAAATGCCACCTAGCCGGTTTCTTAAATTTTACAGCATCTTTTATTTGTTTGTAGTTTTATATTGTTGTAAACAAATAGCTGATGAATTGCCTGTGTTAAAATAAAGATGATCGATTTATCTATCTGTGCCTTTTTTGTTTTCAGTATCCACTAAGAAGCAGAGATTATGTGATGATACGAAGATCAAAGGTATGATTTTTAAATAAACATTCTTCTGATCAACCTACCAAAAGGAAACTTGTAAAGTTCTTCAGATGTTTTTACTCACAATATTACAGATGTTAAAATACATTAATGGATAAATTTTTATATTTGACTTAGGTTGATGAGGAAGAAAAGAAAATAGTGCTCATGTCAAAGTAAGAAGTTATTCTATTGAAACTCTATAAATGTGAAGTCAGAGTCACTGGTTTGAGAAAAATCAATGAGAAACTATGTGCTAAGACATTCACAGAGTAATTGATTGATCTTATTCACCAGGGGATCCACATTTACTGTATCTAAAAAGTGGATAACCTGGCCACCAGGTCATTGACAAACCTTGAAAGTAATGAGGTGATGGCATAATAGTGTAATCAAGCAGTATCAATGCTATAAATTTTATAAAACTTACTGTTGGTCAATAGTTAATAAATGCAGTTGACTTGCTGTTCCTTTGAGGCACTGAAGGTTTGGGCTGCAAAAAATAATTGTTTTTGTGGAACAAAAATGATGCTATTGCACTCAATATCACTGTGAAGATGACTATTTTTGATAGTTGAAACATTCAGATATAAGGTGTTATTGGGATTAAAATGGCTTTTACATGTAATTACCTTGTTGATATTGATTTCATGTTAATATATTATTGTAGGGCTACAGATCACCCAAAATACCCAGAGTCCCAAGATCATGTCAGAGTTAATGAATATGCTTCGCAGATGGTTATTAAGCCCCACAGGATGTTTGAGGAGGTGTGTTGATGAAGTCAGTCTTTTGTAGTCATACATGTGAATATAGAGTCACTTTTGCAGAGTGGGCCTGGTTGTAGCAAGGGTTGAAAACACTATCCTACAGATAAATCTTATCCAGTGGATAAATTTATTGGATAGCAGTTAACTAACCCACTGGATAAGGATTTATCTGCCCTTCATACAACTGGGCCTAGGGGAATAATATTTAAAGAGTTCACAAACAGTACAATAAAATGATGTATCAAATTGAAATCTATGTGATTTGAAGTACTATGCATTGATTAACTCTTGATCTAATGATGTTTGTTTACAGAATGGTATGGATTTCGTACTCCACTGCTATGATAACCCTAGGATGACAATACCATCAGTGTGTACAAACTATGCTACTGCATCAGGTACATGACTTTGTAATGGTGCACCTTTTTTCCTTTATGCATTAGTATTTGCCATTGAAGCAACCACTAGCCAGTTATATTGCCTTAAAATGTCATATCAGAAAGGAAATTAACCAAATGGATGATCCTGTTATGTTCTCAGGTATTCCAGAGTACATCAAGACTTTGCATGCTGCTGCTAGTAACATTCAAAATGAACAAGACACATATTACCGCAAAAAACATTCATTTGAGAAGCAATGTATTAGCGACACCAGTTACAAGCCACCAAGCCTCTAAAAGTGTGTGATCTATTTTTGTAATGGCTTATAGATAATATAAATAATTCAAAAGGGCTAATGGCAGCGATCATTTTATGATTACTGTAAACAGCCAATGGCATGTTTAAATTAGTTAAGACTCAAGTCTCAAAACTGTAAATAGATTACATAGGGAGAGTATTAACAAGTGATAAATCTACTACTTTGTAGAGGCATTAGTCAAACAGATGTAGGTTATAAAATATGACAAATAAACTTTTATCTTTTATTGAAGCAATTGTGTTTGGCTCAGTCATAAAGAAAAGAATGGAATCCACTGAGGTTGGAACCCAGAGAATGGAACTGGAAMTGGAATGCCTTGGTGAGAGACTGAGCTATCTAACCACTATGCCTCGCATGCAATACCTAAACTCATGTGTAATTAATGAGCCTTTGAACCAATTGGAGTGAACATACATGTCACATACATGGATCTTTAAAACTCATAAAGTTCTCTTCACTAGTATTATTTACATGAAGAATACTATTGAGGATGAGAACTTTATATAAGTGTAAAACCACTGGGCGTTGCCGAGTGGTTTTAGACCTGATAAAACATGATCTGCAAGTTTATTAAACTGCTTTAAAAACTTAGGCATAATTCACAAACTTTTGGTTTGTTCATCACTGCCATGCACAGTAGGTACAAAAGGGTTTAGTGAGAGAGACCAAGAGCCTTGATGAAAGCCTAACCCTAACGTGACTTTGATGAGGCTCTTCATTAATAATCTCTACTTAAAAAACTCATTAATAATTCATGAAGGAAACAATAGAAATCATGACCATGAAGGAGGTTTTATTTCTGATAACAAAAACCTCACTAGATTATGGCACTCGACTTCCTTGGAAACCCAGGGGTAAAGTTTTGTCACTTGTTTCTTGCTCCTAGAAAAACGAGTAAGAAACGAGTGACAGAACTTTACTCCTGGGTCATTCCAAGGATGGCCTGATAATCACTCTAAAACTGTTTTATTTGCTGACAATTTCACTACAAAAATAAAATTAAAAAAAAAAGAATTAAAAGCTAAAAGAACAAAAATATAACTGCTTCGAAAGCCTCAAAAGGTTAAAATATGTGTACTGTTTAATAAACGAGCAGGAGTGTTTTATCGGGTATAAAACACGAGGCGTTTTTAGACACGATAAAACATGATCTGCGAGTTTATTAAATGGCTTAAAAAACTCACGATGTATGTTCTCATATTGTACAAAATTCTTTACGAAATGAACCAGGTTTGATAGAGAAAATCCAAGTTAAAGTATATGCAAATGAAGAGGAATCTATATCAGATATAAGCATCCTTCATGGTCATGATTTCTATTGTTTCCTTCATGAATTAATAATGAGGTTTTTAACGGTTTTTAATATTTTGCAAGTTGAGGAGATTTTTAAAATTTTATTTTATTTAGTACATAGTGATCATGATGTACCAAAGTACTTAGTTGATAATTCATTTTTTTCACCATTAATTTATTGGAAGACTATTATTTCACAATCTTAAAGCCAAGATATTGTTAAACACTTTGAAAAATTAGTCTCGTACACTTTTTTGCAAAGAACAAGCAACAATATGTATTTTGGCTCTCTTAGTGGGTGAAGCATTGACAAATTCGTTTTCCAATGATACGTTTCTAAAAATGAAGTATACCACAATTTGTTTTGGTTATAGCCCTTATGAATATGAGTGAAATGCATTCGTTTGAATATACAGAGTATTTTAAAGACGTGGACAGATGGTACATATATTCCCTTTCATACAAATATGCATCAGTCTTTGATATTTAGAGCCTTTTTGACAAGCATATAGTTAGCTTCATTATCGTTGTCTAATTTAGGCTAATATTCTAATATTGTCTAATATTTTAGTTACTAGATAAAATCATCCAAAGAGATTTCTTTTCTTTCTCGACCAATCAGCGCGCAAGATTTTCAACAATCATCTGCGTTTTTATACTAATTGATACTAAAATCTGGTACTAAGAATTAGTATTTGTTTCACGGGTTTAGTGCGAGCACTCCATTTCGCTTTAACTTAATTTTATCAGATTGATGGTAATGCTAATAATCCATGCAATCCTAGTTGCCAAAGAAAGGCTKGTCAAACTTTCTAGTGGTATTTCTCCCCCAAGATGGACGCAGTCAAAGACAAGGTAAATAAGCCAGCCTTTCAAAATTAGAAACACTTTTCACAATCTAAATACTTCTTTYGTTGRTTCGYATAGCTATTATYAAACACAAGTTTATTTTCAGAACATTCGCTGAAGTCATGTGGTAGAATTCAAAGTGAAGTTTTGCATATCTTTTAAAAAACCTTAGATCACTAAGTTTTTACAACTTTAAACTTACAACTTTTACTACTAAATAGTGCAAAGTGTCGCACACTTTTAGTGTTTGTACTCTACTAAGACATTTGTATTTATGGCTGCTACGTTTTTGTTAGTGCTCAATAACATTATGAATGGTGAACGTGCGTAACTGCACGCTCTATCTTAGAACATAAAAGTTTAGTATTTTTTGTTTAAGAATATCGAACTGAAACAACTCTTTACAACTAGTGAAGTTTAAAAAGCGGAAAGTTTGATAGCTTTTAAAACATTTTTTAGTTGCTGTTACTTAAAAGCATTATAAGCTTAAATTGAAAGAGCCTTGTTCTAGTCCTAACTCCTCTAGAATAAAATTACGCAAAGCCCCAACGGTACAGAAAAGAAAGAACTATTATAGTAACCACAAACAGTCTTAAATAAGAGTACCTTTTGTTTTCTGGTCTCCCAACAGTATTGTTTTGTGTGCGTCTTCTTGCACGAGTCTTGCCTAAGTGAAGAGAACGGACTGATGTRCAACATGTTTTCTAAAATTTCTATGGCAAGAAGGAAGTGCTGTGTCCAGCCAGTGCGAAGTAAACCTTTGTATTGAAGTTTTGTTTCTTTTAGAATAGAAAAGACAGAGAAAAGAAAGATGTTTTTGGGGGTTTGGATTTTTAAACGTGGCGCTCAAACCAAAAAACCGGTTTTTCAAGTTTCCACCTCGTTTTATCCAATTAGAAGGCCAATCAATCCGTCCAAATAACCGGAAATAGATCTGCTTCTTTAACCACAGCTAGCCCAAACTCTGGGATTTCAATATGGTTTCTTTTTGTAAAAGCTCCTTTGTTTGCAAAATTAAGGCATTTGACGGGACATTTGAATATAACTCAAGATTTTTAAACATTTCCTCGAAATTTGCCTTTCTTACAGAAGGTATCCTTATGCGCATTTAATATAGACTGTGTCAGTTTGTTTTTCTTGTTCTTTTTAAGTTGAAAGAGTATAAAGCAAAGAATACCATAGCAGCAGCTGTCTTGAAAGTCCTTGAAGAAAGAACTGGTGTAAAACAGAAAAAGCTGACCGCAGGAGATCAGTAGAATTATTATTTTTGAGACTTATTATTTGCTAAGACTCCGCCTGGAACTCAAACGTCAAACTGACTGAAGAACTAAAAGTAATTACTATACCATCCATTATAATATTCATGAAGGGTTCATTTATTGATCGTACTCTGCAGTTTTATCCAATTTTAACATTTCAAAAGATATATTAGATGATATTATTGTTCATTGGCAAAACTTCTCTGTTATATTGTTTTCAGACTGTCACAAAAGTTTGCAGTAACATTTATTCATAGAAATATAAAAAAATAAAAAATATTGGTCTTTTTCATTTTGGTTTTTAGCAATTTCTCTTCAGAAATTTAGCAGAATCTATTGTTGGGATATATTGGTTATTTGACATACAAGTGACGGTATATGCTAGTGATGGGATATAATGATAATGAAATAATGATAATTAAGATTCTTCAGCACAATATAAGAAACCCTAGAGGTGATGTAAAAAATATTGGTAGTGATGGGATATTGTAACTAGTGATGGGATATGGCCAGGCAGTGGAAATGTAAAGTGTAACTAGGTTTTACTAATAGGAAAAAGCCTAGGTTTTGGTGTTGTTGGGGAAAGATTATGTAAATGTATAATAAAATAACATCCTTAGTACCTTATAAGCAGAAAAACAGCTTTCCAACATAACAATTTTGCAGCTGGAAAGGGTGTTCATTGACACGAGGGGAAAACGTCTGCGCATGCTCTGAATCCGTGCAAATTAGTCAAAACATAAGTAAATTTGACTTTCAAACATGCCTGATAAATTGGACTTCACAAAATGCCAAAACTTAGTGCCCATGCTTGAAACGTAAGGCTAATTCTTTCATATCGTGATTGTTAATACAGTATCTTGGTCTGACAAAAGTATACTCTCGAACTTTTTTGTATAGTACTTGGAGAAAACAAACATTTATTTTCTCACTCAAACTCTTCAAAGTTATTAAAAAACGTGCTGAAGTGCACGCATGCGCAAACGTTTTTCTCTAGTGTCGTGTTCATTATGGTTCGTAGCACATTCATCACGGTAAGCGAATATCTCTATCTTATATGTTTCCTTGTGAATATTTTAATCGTATGACATTCAATTATGCAAATATACGCTAAGTATATAAGCTAGTGTGATACCCCCGGGCGTGGGGGGGGGGGGGGGGGTTTTTTTACATGTTTAGGGTAGGGATAAAGTAGAGGCATTTTGTGAACAATCAGGCTTAACAGTTAATATAACAAAGACAAAAGTGATGGTTTTCAATAATACAGGGAAGACAATGAATAACTTCCAATTCTATTTGAACAAAT